TCTCGATCCCCTTTCTCTTCTCCATCCCCTTCTCCATCTTCTTCCCCATCCTCTTCTCCATCTTCATTCCCGTCGAGCCTCTCCTTGAATATCTCCAGGGATGGGGCCTCAACCACCTCCCTGGGCAACCTGTTCCAGTGCTCCACCACCCTCACAGTGAAGAACCCTCTCCTAATCTCCAGTCTAAATCTGTTCCCCTCCAGCTTGAAGCCATTTCCCCTCGTCCTGTCACTGCAGGCCTTTCTAAACAGGCTCTCCCCACTCTTCCTGTAGGCTCCCTTCAGGTACTGGAAGGCTGCTATTAGGTCTCCCCAAAGCCTCCTCTTCTCCAGGCTGAACAACCCCAGCTCCCTCAGCCTGTCCTCGTAGCAGAGGTGCTCCATCCCCCTGATCATCCTCGTGGCCCTCCTCTGGACCCGCTCCATCAGGTCCATGTCCTTCTTATATTGAGGGCTCCAGACCTGCACACAATACTCCAGGTGAGGTCTCACCAGAGTAAAGTGGAAGAATCACCTCTCTGGACCTGCTGGCAACGCATCTTTTGATGCAGCCCAGGATGGGATTGGCCTTCTGGGCTGCAACTGCCCACTGCCTGCTCATGTCCAGCTTCTCATCCACCAGCACCCCCAAGTCCCTTTCCTCAGGGCTGCTTTCTAATACCTCACCCCCTAGCCTGTACTGGACTCCTGTGGCTGCTGCTTGCTTGGATCAAGATGGTGTTAACCATTTCCCGCTACCATAAAACCCTGAAAAAGAATTGCAGATAGATAAGTTCTTGTTTCTGACTGGTTACATCAGTTTGGAAACTTGTGACACGGGAGATAAATCACATTATCAAGAGCGATTACACTGACGGGTATTTCAGACCTCTTTCCCCTTCCCCAGCAGCTGCACTGGACCTGGACGGGTGCTGCAACTGCATCCTGGGACCAGGAGGCCCAGCAGCTTTTGTGAAAACACACATCCCACTCTGCAGTCACTGCTGTGAGCTGCTGCCTGGGACACGGAGACACAAACTGATAGATTCAACAATCATAAATCCCCGTTATAACCTCCGTGCTGAAAAAGCAATCCAGCCCTCCGTGACCTCACTACAGAACTTCTGCTAAGAGGTCCCTTATTTTAAGGAAGCTGGGGTTGGGGTCAGGGCACAGGGAATATTTACACGACAGAAATCCTCCTTAGAGACTCTGTATACAAGGCTCTGGCCTTGGAGGCTCTGAATACACAGCGAGTTGGTTAGTAGCCCATCCCTCAGCTGTTTACCAGGGACATAAGAGAAGGTCCCTTCAGAAGCCCCTGTCTTTGTAAAAAAATGCTCTTCCTGTTGGTTGAACACGTGCTGCCATGAAAACACAGCTTGTTACCTTTAAAAATAAGGAACGCTGTCCGTGGAAGGTCGTCAAACCAGTGCTCACGATTTCGTTTTGCCTGGGAGTGGAACAGCCACAATCAGAAGCTGTCAATGCTACATCCATACAAGAAATGTGCAGTGATGGAGACCCACCTTATCCCCAGCATCTGCTTTGTTTTGATTGCCTTTGTTTCTTACCTCCCTCCTCTCTAATCACTGGCCTCTTTTGCTCTCCCTCCCACACACACGCTTCCCCCCCTTCTCCACCCAACAAATACTCACCTTCCATTTTAAGCCAACAACTTCATAGAAATTGTAAAAATCCTTTAGACTGCAAAACAGAAAAGAAGCATCTGATCAGAGCCTTGAAGTTGATTAGATCCTTAATTGTCCTTGCCAGGCATCATCAGTAGAGAGTCCCTGGAATTTATTAACTCCTTATTAGAACTGCAACCGTAGCTGATGTATCTCAACACTGCCCTCTTCCCGCTCTGGCCAAAGGCTACTGACTGACAGGAGCCAGAATGGGGCAAAACCCACCTTCTTTCTGCAGTGCTACAGCCCTTAGAGGAAACTCTGACTCCACAACTCCAGAATTTTACCACTGAGAGGAAAGACCTGAGGCTCAGACAGCAAACTCCTGGGGACAGAGATTGTACTGCTCTTCCCGAAAATTCTTGGACTGTCTTAATTGCTCGCACAGTCCTCTTCTAACACCTTTGCACATTTTCTTTTCAAGGCAACAATGAAATTTTAAAGGGGACATGAAAGCAAAGAAACTCATAAAACCTGAGTGCCTGGCTGGGTGCTCGGGGTCAGACCTGTAAGAGCTGCAGGTGTCTGAAAGTGAGGAAGCTGAACTTTTCAGATTCTTACTGGTGTCATTAGGTGCCTAAATTTAAAAACTCAGTCTGTCTCCCCATGCCATTTTCAACCCTCTTCTGTGGCACTTGAGCTTAAGGAGAAGCACTGGCACCTGTTTCATGGGAGACTCACTCCAAGCCTGTCTGTGGCCAGCACAAAGGAAAAAGAAGAGGTCTCCTGCTCTAATTCCCACTCCTTCCATGCTGGCTGGAGTTAGCTGTACCCACCCACCAGAATGGTAATTCTCTGCCTCATAACACAGAAGATGACAGTCCTGAAAGCACTAGCAGAACCCGATTTTAATTAAGAAAACCCTGGGGGGCACAGCCAGCTGCTGGAAAAAAACCCACAAAGTTGTTAAGCTGCGAGGCTGCTCTGTGTGAAGAAATGCTCCTTGCAGGCTCCAACGCTGCTCCTCAATTTCTCGCTCCTCCGTTGTGGGAGGGGAGGTGGGGAACAGAAGCTGCCTTCTGTTGAATCTGGTGATTGCCAGCAGAGCTCTGTATCCACAAGAGGGCACGCAGGAACTCCAGCACCTCCGAAGAGAAACCTCAACTCTCAGCATACCCACCCCTCCAAGCTCCCCGAGCCCCAGACAAATCCTTCCAATCTTAATTCCCACATCTCGGGTGACGTTCATTCCAGAAACCCAGCCATCCTCTCCAAAGTCATTCCAGAAACCCAACCATCCTCTCCGAAGTAAAGCTTCAGAGAGTGAAGCAACCTCCCTTGCTCTGGGCGCAGGGGGGTAAGACCATCCTACCTGACTAAAGGAGTATTGCTTTGATTCAGTGCTTTGAAAGTGAGATACCGCTCTCTGGCACACATCCGAGGCTTGTAGAACCGCAGCAGCCCTTCAAAGTGCTTGAAGGAAATTCCAGACGGCCTCTGGAAACAAGGGAATGTTGTCATAAGCAGAGACATCAGGCAGAAGCACATCGAGGCGAGCGCGTTTAATTCTCACTCTGGATTTGTTTTAAGCAGGATTTTCTACATTACCGTAAGATGCCATTAGAACTAAGCCCCCAAAGTACCCTAAGCTATTACTTTAACGAACTGAGCGTATCCCAGAGCACAGAGATCAGAAAGCTCTCCTGGCAATCAGTCCCTCCAGCAAATGCAGAACTGTTCCCTGTTGCCTTCTCATGTGAAAAATTGGCCAACAGACACCCCAAGCGACAGAGTTCAACCTCTCTTCTTGGGAAATTAGCAGACAGCCTCACACATCCCATTACTGGCACTTTTTTTAAAGACTCTCAGCTATGTGCCCTAAACATGAACTAATCTACTAGAAGTGGGTTAGTTATTTTTGGGCCTTATTTCTCTTGCTGCTCCACAAGTTAAGAAATCAACCCTCTCCCCCCAAGTGCTCTGTCCCGGTAAAAAGCTGTTTGTAGGTGAATTACTTCTGCTTCTGCACCATTTATTCACACGGTATCTAGCAACTCTGCTCTGCCTTCACTTGTAATGACCCACCCCTCTTCTAAGTACTGGTACTTGAGAAGCAAGTCCTCAAGTGACCCACGCTGAACCAGAGAGAAATCAATGATCCCGTGCACTCCAAAACAAATATCACTCATTTTATCAATACACTTCCATAAGTTCACATGGGGCTAAAGTTCAGGCCACTTTGGTTTTTCTCCAGAACCAGATAAAAACAAGTTATATGAATGAAAAAAAACAGTAGCCCTTAGCACGATTGCAGCCAACAGACATAAGTCACCTTTTTTTGGAGCATGGTCCTTAAACACTCCAGACCACTGGTTTTCTTAAGACATTTTGATGTTTTAAGAACAGGCCAGGCTTTTCTCAGCCTCCCTGCAGGGCCCTGTACCTGTTTGGTGATGAGCAGGCGGTAGGCGTGCTGTATGGCCGTGCGCTTGTGCAGCAGCAAAGACTTAAACTTCCTCTTCTCGATGTCATTGAAAGTATCAAACACAACAGCGAGAAGCTGCAGAGAGAAGACAGGGGAGAAAGGCACGTTTTGATCCTTTGAGGCAAGGAGAGGCATTGCTGCAGGAGGAATTCACTGACTGAGGTAGAAGGGACTCAGCGAGGGCCCATGGGCCATAAGGGATCCCAAAAAGGTATCACCAAACACACTGCACACACACCCATCAACTTTTTTGGAAGAGGTTCAGATGTTTCTGGCCTCCTAACACTCGCTAGTAGTTTTAAGCCCACACATGCCAACAGAAAACAGTATCAAAAGGTCTGTTAAAATGCCCTGACCTCACCCTGGAAAGCAGGTTTAGAGGGCTGCTCTCTGGACTCACCCTTCCACCAGACCTTTGAAAAACACATGTCAAAGTCCTCCATCTAGGAGAGCAGCAGTGAAATCCAAGCCCTCTACAAGCATCAAATCACCCACCTTGGGCTGCAGAATTCCTCAACTCCTTTGGCGAGCCCTTTTCCACTACTCAAATCCTCCCCTGAGCTGGTTTCAGCCCTGCCCCAGGTGCTGCAAGAAGCAGAGCCAGCACGGCAGCCACGCTCCCACATGGCAGTTATCAGCATTCTTCAACTCCTGCCATATTTCCTAATTCCATCCCCTTCAAACTGATTTACAAAGTCTTTCAGGCAAGCCCAGATAATAAAATGCCATTTTACGATAAATAATTAAGACAGAAAAGGACAATAAATTTCACGCAACTGGGTATGTCACTCCAAGCATGATATTAATGGGAGAGAAGTTGAAAGATACTCGTATCATTCCCTTTTCTGTGATTTAGTTCAATTCCTTGTGGTTAAACATTAAAAGAGTCCTATCTGTGGCGAAGCTGCTGTTTCTAGAAGTATTCTGCCAAAGGGTCTGAGATTATTACTGAGCACTCTTGGGAAGGGGGAAGACTCTGCTGGGCAATGAGCTCTGAAGTCAGGCAGAGAGAAGTCAAGAGCTCCATCAGGGGACTCACCAAGTTCATGATGAAGTACAGCTCAATGGAGAGATACACTATGAAGAAGACACAGGACCAGGGGTTCCGGGCGTAAGATGGCATCATCACATCAGGGAAACTGCATTCAAAAAAGACACAAGTTGAAGCACCAAATAGCTCAGGCTACATATTCTGCTACAGAGACAAGAGGCACAGGACACAGGTGTGTGTGTGTAAACACATATCCAGAGATCTGCCCATTTCTCCAAAACACGTGGTTGCTCGTGACACAGAAGTTTGTGCCCAGCAACGAGCAGCACAAGCATGCCAAAAAAAATATACAAATATGAAAAGCACACTCTTTTCACATCCCAAAAAGCAAATGATTGGTAGCAATGACAGCAATACAGCCTTGGTGTGGGAGTGTCACAAGCTAAGATGCGTTCTAATTTCCTAATCCCCAGAGCTCTCCCTGACAGCAGATCAATATTGACCCACTATTGTTATCCCCGTTTCCTAGCAGATAGGTGCAGCCAAGCAGAGGAGTAGGAAGTTACTTCACAACTGCAAACTGTTGGCTGACAAAGGAAGACAAACACAAACTTTCCCTTCTTGGACCAAGGCCTAAAAAAACCCACTTTCCCCCTTTTTGCCCTCACAGCGATGAAGTGGTCTGAGTCGCTTAGAGACAACTCTGCATCTGAGGTCACAGTGTCCTAAACCAAAATGAAATACTAGTTCTTGCCATGCGGGCTGACCCAGGAGACCTCCCTCTCATGCAGAGGAAAGGGGTCACGTCTGGAGACAAAGCATTTCTGCAAATGAACTCTTGGCTCTGCCAGACTTAGAATCATAGAATTGTCTAGGTTGGAAGGGACCTTTAAGATCATCTAGTCCAACCATCAACCTAACTCTGACAAAAACCATCACTAACCCATGTCACTAAGCACTATGTCAACCCGGCTTTTAAATACCTCCAGGGATGGTGCCTCAACCACTTCCCTGGGCAGCCCATTCCAGGGCTTAATAACCCTTTCAATGTAATAATTTTTCCTGATAGCCAACCTGAACCTCCCCTGGCACAACTTGAGGCCGTTTCCTCTTGTCCCATCCCCTGTTCCTTGGGAGAAGAGACCAATCCCCCCTGGCTACACCCTCCTTTCAGGGAGTTGGAGAGAGTGAGAAGGTCTCCCCTCAGCCTCCTTTTCTCCAGGCTGAACACCCCCAGCTTCCTCAGCCTCTCCTCACAAGACTTATTCTCCAGACACCTCACCAGCATTGTTGCCCTTCCCTGGCCTCGCTCCAGCACCTCGTTGTCTTTTTTTGTGGCAAAGAGCCCAAAACTGGACACTTCTCTGGGGACAAAGGGAAAGACCAAGCTAGAAAAGCATGAACTCACTTTGAAGTGGTCAAAAGCACGAAGAGATTCACGAGGCTGTTCTCTAAGGTATTGAAGTACTGAAAGAAAAAAAAAAACATGAGAAAACGCAAGCAGAATTTCATAGTGACGTTTCATTCAAAAAGAAACAAACAGCCAACCCACCCACCGGCACTTTTACAATTCCCTGGTGCCTCCCCCCAGGGAAAGGACACTTCAACATTGGTCCTTTTCAAAGGTCCCTGAGAGATGGCATGTGAAGAGTTAAAACAATTAAATTAAAAGCTCATCTACACTTTTTTTGTAGAAGTTACTCCTGGAAAGCACAGATGTGGCAGAAGCAGGAACTAGAGCCACAGTCTGAGGTGTCTGAGCAGACACCTTCCTCCCCTGGGGACAGTGGCAGGTGGCTCTTTTGACTGAATCACGACACCAAGAACAAGGAACAACTCTGTGAATGTTCCCTTTGGGACATCCTGTCTTTGAGGCAGTTCTCTGTACCATCTTCCTTCCCAGAAGGGAGTAAAGCAGGGTAACGCTGCCAAGCAGCCTCTGGTCAGCCAGCATCTGGCCTCCTGGGCCACCACATCTACACAGTCATGTTTGATTCTTACCCAGGTCAAAACGGGACTCAAGCTTCAGCTGAAAGAATCAGTGATACTCACCGGATCCGAGTGGTTAGGAGAAAACAAGTAAAAACCTGGAGAAGCAGCAAAAAAGGTGTGGGGGGAGAAAGAAGAGGGGAGAGAACAAACAAAAATAAAGTCTGTTTAATGTCAAGCAGCGAAGTGGTGAGTCTCTTTTCCCAAAGAGAAGGTCACACTAAGAGTAAGCCCTCTCTGACACCATGAAAAGGAGAGTATCTGGAAGGCCTTCTCCATGCCAGATTTGGCATTTCATTGAGCCTTTCAGAAAACACACTTTCTTGGGGGTGGTTTGAACACAGGACTGTAGCAGGTATGCTACAGACACATGCATTGGCAAGAATGTAGATTGAATTTACAAGACTGAGGAACAGTTGATGGAAACAGAAATTGGAAACCACAAACACACACGCAGCACAGACTATCCTCTGGAAGAGGTCAAAAGGACCTTTGTCTCAAAATCAAATACCCAGCTTCCAGATTTTTTTGATCTTTAAATCTGCCTTCCAGATGACTGTGGATGAAATGGGACAAATGGAAGATCCTGGCAGGACTCTGAATCTGTTCAGCTTTATATTTATCCAGGCTGGTTGTGTGGTGACTGTGGATGAAATGGGACAAATGGAAGAACCTGGCAGGACTCTGAATCCATTCAGCTTTATATTAATCCAGGCTGGTTGTGTGGTTTTTTTGGACAGTAAGTGGCTAAGAGCATCGCTTTACCTTCCATAAATAAAACTCACCCAGGATGGCAAAAATCACCATGAAGAAAAGCAGGAGGAGAAGAATGTCAATAAACGGTGGGAGGGACTGGAAGATCTGTCGCAGATTTCTGAAAAGAAGAAAACATTAAGAAACTAAAACTTGCATGTTTTCTCCTCTGGGTTGGCAGGGGTAAAAAAAACCTAACCCAACGACACACTATGCTTGAGGACTTTCTTCCCACTCCCTCCACGGATTAAAAATAGAAAGCCAGGTAAATTAAGACCGTTTCCAAGCTACCTATCTGTCCTTTGCAGCCAGCTTTCAGGTACTGCAAACAATACTAACGTCACCCTGTCAACTTTCCTTCTCCAGCCTAAAGACTGAGCTCTGTGATTTATTGTGCAGTTCACAGGCAAAGGTGGGAGCCTGAAACAATACAGCCACGTTCCCGTGTTGTGCTCTCTGAAGTAGTTTATCCAGCTGAAGACACAAAAGCTCTGTGTACACATAAACACATCCCAAGCTACTACCTGTGACATTTCCCTACACAGGCGAGGCGCTATGGAAACAAATCACAACAGATCTGTGGATGAGCACACGATCTGCTGGATCAAGCACTGGCTGACTGGAAGGTCCCAAAGAGTTGTGCTTAATGGATTTACGTCCAGCTGGTGGCCGGTCACTAGTGGTGTGCCTCAGGGCTCAGTGTTGGGACCATTTCTGTTTAACGTCTTTATTGATGATCTCGATAAGGACATAAGGTGTAACATCAGCAAGTTTGCAGATGACACCAAGTTAAGCAGGAGTGTTGACTCCCAGGAGGATAGGGAAGCTTTGCAAGAGGATCTAGATAGATTGGATCACTGGGCCAATGCCAATAGAATGAGTTTCAACAAGGGCAAGTGCAAGGTCCTGCACTTGGGCCACAATAACCCCCTGCAGCGCTACAGGCTGGGGGAAGTGTGGCTGGAGCTGCCTGGAGGAAAGAGACCTGGGGGTTCGAGTTGACAAACGGCTGAATATGAGCCGGCAGTGTGCCCAGGTGGCCAAGAAAGCCAATGGCATCCTGGCTTGTATCAAAAATAGTGTGACCAGCAGAAGTAGGGAGGTGATTGTGCCCCTGTACTCAGCACTGGGGAGGCCACACCTCGAGTGTTGTGTCCAGTTTTGGGCACCTCAATACAAGAGAGATATCGAGGTGCTGGAGCGGGTGCAGAGGAGGGCAACGAAGCTGGTGAGGGGGCTGGAAAACAAATCGTATGAGGAGCAGCTGAGGGAGTTGGGACTGTTTAGTATGAGGAAGAGGAGGCTTAGGGGAGACCTCATCACTCTCTACAACTACTTGAAAGGACACTGTAGAGAGGTTGGTGCTGGTCTCTTCTCACAGGTAATTAGTGACAGAACGAGAGGGAATGGCTTCAAGCTCCAACAGGGGAGGTTTAGACTGAACATTAGGAAGGAATTTTTCACTGAAAGAGTGATCGGGCATTGGAACAGGCTGCCCAGGGAGGGGGTGGAGTCACCATCCCTGGCTGTGTTTAAGGGCCGTTTAGATGCAGTGCTAAGGGACATGGTGTAGGGGAGGACTTTGTAGAGTAGGGGAGATGGTTGGACTCGATGATCCCAAGGGTCTCTTCCAACCTAGACGATTCTATGATTCTATCTCCTCCGAGATCCGACATGCCCATGAAAGATGGTTATTTTCCTGAGGTGCCTGCAGGATCAGAGAGTTTTTCCTCCCCCCCCAGCCCCAGGGATGGCAGCAGAGAACCCAGCCAGCTGCCCCAGTCACCTCCTGACGGCACCGCAGTAACGGCAGTCCACCAAGAAGATGCAGCGCAGAGCTCTTGTTATCCGGACGTGCGAGGTTTGGCGCACCAGCACCACGATGGCCTCGATGAACTGTACAAACAGCACGCAAGTCTGCAAAAATAAGAGGCACAGCTGCAATCTCCTCCAGGGAAAGGCAAAGCTTTCACTGACCACCCATTTATTTGGACGCTTTAAGGGTGGGAGGTGTCTCTGAGAGCTCAGAGATCTCGCATGAATCATTTGGCAGCTGGGACACACGGCTACGTTATCCCTGCTGCAGTACAGGCCAATATTTAATCTGGTTTTTTGTTCCAAAAGATGCTGAAGAAGAAACACTGACAATCAGACAGACAGCTTACCTTCACCATAGTCCTCTTGTGCCTGATAAAGGTTTGGAAGCCCAGCCACCTCATCTTCATGGAGAGTTCAAAGACCACCACAATTAACGCAAACAGCTCCAGGGTTGCATGGACCTGTTACAATAGAGCAAAGCTTAAACCAGAGCTTCTAATCACAGGCAGCAGCACATCAGAGGCCACGCTTCTGCCCTTCCTTTTCCAAGGAGCACGTGGGTTTGACAACAGTCTGAGCACAGCCCCGTGATGTGCAGGAAAACCCAAGGCCACTCTTAAAGCCGGCACACCACCGGTTTTCATATTTTCTACATTTACTGCTTCGTGTTTTTATTAAAGCCCATAGAATTTTCCTCTATTCAAGTATCAGCCCAGAATTTCCTGGAAATCCACATCCCTTTGGGGCTTGAATAACATCAAAAAAATGTATTGGTTACATTTGAAACAAAAGGGTAAGACACATCAGCAGCTCAAGCAAAAACTTTTTAAAAAAAGTTTGAGACTGCAATTTTTTTAGTGAAACGGAAGAAGAAAAGCTGCTGGGCAGGGAGAATTTACATAGAGAAGGGTTTCCTCTTTAAATAGATGTTCTGGATGTGTTCTGGATGACCACAGATGGGGTTCTGGTACAGAATGCAGCTTCTGGAAGGGCCCCTTTTCCATTGGAAGATACAAAATGCACCACATACATGGTGCATACATTTTCTTCCAGCCTCAGCTTTAGCCACAGCTCAAACCCCAAATTGAGTTAAGTGGCCCTGACTCATTTTGAGCAAAGCTTTGATGCCAAGGTTGTCAGGCCTGTTCTGGGGTGGTCCTGGGGTGGCATCAGCAGCTCGAAAAGCAGCTGTAGAACCTCCCACCAGCTCCTAGTGCCGTGCGTGACAGTGGTATCTTGGGAAACAGTTGTGGACTGACAACAGGACACACCAGTTTGTGTATCACTTCTCTCCACCTGCATTTTGGGAAGCCTTGACATAAAACTTCCCGTCATTCACACACACATCAAACCAGGAAGGTTGGCTGGCGGGTGTATCTGCTGAAAACCAATTTACAGAACAAACCAGGTGGCTTTTTTTTTCCTACTACTGCTACCTTCTTCCTCGACGTTTAGCCTCCTTTTCCTCTTACCCACCCCCTGCAAAACAGGCCAACTTCTTCATTTTGCCCCAAAGTACTTACAAAGATGCCAAGACGGAGCATAGGAACAGCGGGTGCCTCGCAGAGAGACAGCAACAGGAGAAGCAGTGCTGTGCTCAGCTCCATCAGGTAGAAAAGGTGATTGTGTGCAAAGAGGTAGGCAGCAAGTGCTTTGGCATTTTTGGGGTGAGTGAAGAACTTATCATTGTTTTCTCCTTCCTAAGGCAGCAGGAATAAAGAAGAGAACAGCATCAGTGACTCTCAGTACTATAACAGAACTTTCCACATGAATAACACAGACTTTTATAAGGATTAGATACAATTCCCAACAGACCATCCCCACTTTACAGCCTGATATTAGTCTATTTATGGAGGAATGAACTCTACACCCATGGGACATCCCTTTCTGTTCACATGCATATTTCAGTAATGAAACTCATTAATATCCACAAACTCCTGCCTCAGAAACCCTTGAACCTTTTCAGAACGAGGAAGAGTGCTGGAAGAGTTTATAAAGGAAGGTAAAGAAACTTGAGTCAACACTCCAATATAAACCAGCACTTCATTTACTTGCAACCACTTCCACATGTTTACAGGCTTATTTGATTAAACTTCTCCGGGACAGAACACGAAAACACACAGATAAGCTCCAGGGCACCTGGCTGACAGTTGCTCCTCCTTATCTTGGCCTTGCAAAATGTCTGGGAGAAAACACTGGAGCACCCGCAGTGTTTTCTGGTTCGGGAATGTGAGAAGACAAGCTCCATGAAAAATTAACAAGGCTCGCTGCTGATTTGTCATTCCCTCTTAACTGGAAAGCTTAATTAACATTAAAAGGTCAGATACTCCATCTTAACAGTTTGCCTACAACTGATTTTCAAGCAGCTACATCATTACTATTTTTACCTCTAGGACAAAACTTAGTTTGGGGAGAATTCAGAGGTTTTTCATGCAGAACCACCCAACGGCTTCTTCTCTTTCTCGAGTCAATGGTTTAAGCAAGGGAGCCTTTGACACTCACAGGAAACTTCCTGCCTCTTGTTCACTGTCATAAGAGATCATTTTTCCCCAGCTGGGATGCTCAGATACACAAAAAGCTCACAGAATCACAGAATCTTCTAGGTTGGAAGGGACCTTAAAGATCATCTTGTCCAACCGTCAACCTAACTGACAAAAATAGACACCCACACAACAAACAAGGAGCATCATCACTAAACCATACCTCCCAGCACTACATCAACCCGTCTTTTGAACACCTCCAGGGATGGGATGAAAAAAGTTGTGGTTTTTTTTTTAAATTAACATCATTCCAGGTAAGTAATTACCGTAAGGACAGTAAGCTATTACTATCAAAGCAGAATAACCGTGACTGCAAATGGATAACAGGGTCAGGAAACAGGATCTCCTTTAAGAAGTAAAGCATCCTCGAGACTATTTCAGAAGAGGCTTTCAAATGTTTCTCATTTACTCCTCTGACAGGCAAACTCATGTTCTGTTTAAGAACACACACACACACCACGCTGGCGGGTCAGTGAGCCAGATTGCGAACAAGAGAGAACCCAGCAGCAAGCTCCATAAAACACACTCCCCCCCACCTCCTGGCTTAGATCAGCGGGGCATTCTCATTCACGCCTGACAAAACACACTTGCAGAATGAAAAATAGTCGAAATTCTGCCTCTTGGTAGCCAAGCAATTCAAAACGTTGCAGGACAGCAAAGTCCTCTTATTCAGATAAGACGCTCTTGCCTGCAGCTACCAGTTGAAATAAACAATCCGGGAGCTCTTTAAGTTGTGTCTACTTCGTTTCAAGGACGTTGGCATCATGACCATTGGTCAAGGCAGCAGCAAGAATAATCTGCATCTGAAGGGCCCAGCCTGCTGCGTTCATTACCATCAGACACTGCGGCAGCTCAATGACCCTTTGCAGAGCATCTCCAATAATCATGGCTTGAAACATCATCCTGGGAGGAGCTGGGGGTGCCGTTATATTGTCAGTGCTGCTCTAGCACAGGATGAAGCTGAAATATTACCAAGGGCCAAGCCTACCCCGTTTTAAAACATCAGAGCAGTGATATTTCTCAGTCCTGTGGTGTAGGAGCAGGGAGGAATAAATGGTTTCAATCACCTTGCAGCGGCTTAAGCGAAAAACCTAACTGGGTCCAAGCTGCAATGCAGAACCTTTGAGAGGGAACGAGGAGGAGGAAGGAAGGACAGTAAGGGAACCAGCAACAACTTCAGACTGGCCAGTTCTGGGAGAAGCTCAGTTTATCCCACCAGTGATCTTAAAAATATCATAATTTTGTTGATTGAATGGTGTTTCCTGTAACTGGAGCGCAGGTGGCATTTGATGCTTTTTCTTTTTAAGTAGGATAAATTTTACTCCTGGGCTGGTCCTAATTTCAGTATGTTTTCCTCATTGAACCAAGACCCCTACCTGCTCTTACAAGCCCCTGCAGGGCTTGACGGACGCTAAATGAACATCCCAGGGCCACCCACCAAATCTGAGGCCAAGGCAGCATTAGGACCTGCAGAAGATGAGAGATTAGGACCTGCAGAACATGAGACGTCTCCAGGAGAGCACTGACCATTCAACCCAGAGTGACTGAAGCCATAAAATGACGATCTATGACAAGTTACAGAAATCTCCATGGCAAAGTGGCAGAACTGAAGATGTGCTGAACGCCTCTACTGCAGTCCTTGGCACTGGGAGAGATGGGAGAGGATGGGTGGCTTGTTCTGTTGCTCCCACATGACTTCCCAGAGCCCATCTGAAGGCGGTCCCAGCATCTCCCCGCTCTGCGAACGGATTCCTTCGCAAAGCACTGATTTTTTAACCTCAAAACTGCAGCTCTTTCTTTTAATCAAGAACCACCCCGGTTTGGACCACAGAAGTCCATTTTTCACACAAGCCAGCAAACAGCAGGGCTCACCTGGAGGTAGATTGCTGCCTCTTGGTAGTTCATCTCCCAGTTGTGTCGGGCAGAGCTTTGCTGGGCACAGCAGTCCCCCGCAGCAGGGCTGGAGGCATCGTTAATAACGTCATAGCTACCTCCATCTGCATCAGGACAATAAGAGAAAAAAAAAAACTGATTTACCATTAAGCGAGCTGAGATTGATCAGGAGGCAGGCAAACAAGCCAGGCTCTGGGACCAGAGACAAGCATCAAGAGGTGGCAGAGGACCCAGGAAAACTGGCAGCTTGTACACAGACAAATTGACTCTTCCCATGCAGGAGCTTTTAAGCGACTCACTCAAACTCAGCACTTCGACACGGCAACGCTCCCAGAAGACCATCAGAAGAGACAGCATCCTGTTGGATACAATAAGCAGGTCTCCTGGCTCAGGAGATCCGTGCTGTCATCTTCGTAGCAAACCATGGGCTGTCATAAACTACGAACAGGCAGGTAACAGCTCCAAGTCTCCAAGGATGTCCTACCCACAAAAGCAAAGTGGGCTTGCTAAAGGAACACTGCCTTTTTACAGACCTTTTTAGAGACCACGGAAGAATAGAGTACAGGACTATCACCAGCAAGGGAAAGCAGTCAAAGTACAGGAGCTGTAACGTACACTAAGAGCAGCAGTACAGCATTTTTAGTAGAAAGCCTCATTTTTCAGAGCTTTACAGAGTCATGCATCTTTGCAACACTTTTTTTGGTGCTGGTAAGCACCGATACTCCTCTGCTGAAAACAAACAGCAAGATTAATTTTCTGTTCATATCCCAGAGATTGATTTTGAAACTTCTAAGAGCGTGTCTTTCTCATCAGTAAAGCACTATAAAACAAGGAACATTTGTACCAAATTTCATAATTAAAAATTTAATTTAAAAAAAAATACAATTCTATTGCAAAAAGCAACTCCCAAGCACAGCTACAGATACATAAGGCCCTTCCCATGGAAGAGCTAAACAAGGTACATATATAAACTCCAGAATACCTGCTCTTTTTTTTTGCATTCTACAGTATCAGTGCTATTACGAGATACAAAAAACACGCACAAAGATAATTACTGTTCAAAAAGGGGATGTCACTTGGTTTCTTCTTCTGGGACTGAGATTTTTATTTTGCACCTTTGACAGAGAATACTGAGCAGAGACCCCACGGAAGCGAGCCCTGCTTAGGCCCATGCACAAAATCTGTGGTGAAGCTGTCCTCAGGCTCAGTTCTCCAGACTTTCAGTCATTACCCAAAGTACATGGTTGTTCTTGCTCTCCATAGAGACTTCCCTCCTCCCACTGCCACAAATTCCCTAAGAAGGTACATGTCAATTGATCTTGCCAGCACAGAAGTGCTGATTTCCCCCTTTTTATGAGCGCAGATGCTGTGACATGGCTTGTTCTCTCCATCTTATGAGAAGTTATCTGAGGGTGGGAAAAAATTACAATGAGGTTCTTTTCCTTTCTCATGAGAGCATACTGAAGATTTGCTGCATCTCTTTGCTACGACAAAATAATCCTAATTGAATTATTGATTCGGTCTTTCTAGAACACCCTCAGGAGTGGGGAGAGAGTCCCTGCCAAAAACTAGACCCATCGAGAGAAGGAGCACTATGTGCTCCTGACAGAGGCAGAAACCTCCTCCCCGATGCAGAGCCACAGCCGCGTTTTTCCACCCTCAAATCAAATTTAGATAACGTTTAGCTGGGATTTGTGAAGACTGTCCAGATTGCATACTCAGATTGCTGAGAATCCTGCAGCATTTAAGCCTATTTCTCTTCCTTGCTTCCCCCATATCCTTAAAATACCACTCAAAATCTGGATGAGACATTGAATGAGGCCAATTCCTCCCCCACATTCTTTTCACACCTTGAATGAGCCCTCCCGTCTTCTGCTTGAACAAGCACAATTCTTGAAAAAAAACCTAAATGACAGAGATTTTATTTAAGCACAGAACTGGAGTCTCCTGGATTTGTTTGCCTTTTAATTAAAAGATGACACCAACATGCAAAAATCAGCAGCTTTACATTGTGAGCCCCAAAAAGTTCTCTAATGTTATTATTTATGAAGCTTTGACTGTGTATGTGTTTCAAAGAGACAGACTCTCTCAAAACGCAGCCTGACAGCAAAAACCTTTTGGCATTTAATGCTTAACAGAACTGCAGAAGGAGGACATCTTCACCAGAACCTGGACCCACTGCTGAAGATCTTTACTGCCCAGAAGACAAGTATCTTTCAGTCTTCCTTCCCATCCTAACAGATCATTTGCTGCCAGAGGAAATTCCACCCCCCCCCCCACCAAGGTCCTTCATTTTCTGGTGGCCAGGGCCAGGCTCAGGACACCTTGCTCAAAATTCCAACAACTGTGAAGATGCCCAAAAGATGCCCAAATTACCTTTAACCCTGAAGTAGTTATTTCGCAAAGACCAACCTCTCTTTGAAAAGCATCATCACTAGGAAAAGATACACCACAGTAAAAACCCAGGACCCCCTTTCTCCACATTTCTCAGGTTGCTCTGAGCAACCTGCTCATGCTGAAGATGTCCCTGCTCATTGCAGGGGGTGGTTGGACCCGATGACCTTTAAAGGTCCCTTCCAACCCAAACTAGTCTATGATTTCACACAGAGGACTCGCAGCTGAAAGAGAAGAGATGTCCCAGTGAGATCAGGGTTGCCAACACAAAACAGCACTCACAGGTGCAAATCAGAAACAAAAAATAACTCCAAGAAACCAAGATGTTTTTTCTCCTGTCTAAACCAGACATCATCTTTCTAGGCACAGACAACAGAAAATGTACTGGTGAAGTGTTCCGGTGCAGAGCTGCATTTTGTGGATCAGCTCCTTCCCCATCAGGTACCAGAAGGTTGATCTAGCATCCCCGAGGCAACAGCATCATCTGGGTAATAAATAATAATAAAAATAATAATAAATTCGAAAAAGCAACCCTCTGACTGTTTGCTTGGCAGCCCTCCAAGCTAGCTAATTTCCTCAGCTGCTCCCCTGATAACAATGACACAGACTAATGCAGCCTCGGCTCGGCTCGTGCTGCAGAACATCCCCGACGGCATTTACCATTAGTATGGAGCTCAATGAGATAGGAGGATCTCTCCACAGGATTCCCGGGATCCTCCAAGTAGATAGCAGGGGGCTCTCTCCACCTCATGGCAGCCCCACCGCTGCCGTCGCCGCCTCGGGAAGCTTGTGTTCAGGAGTCAGGGAGAGGGAGACAAGTCAGATCTGGAAGTTCCTCCTTCCCTCCCCTCCTTCCCCTCCCTCCCCTCCGAAAGGCGATCCTCGATTTCGCAGCTTCCTCAAGGGAAAGCTACGCGCGAAAAGAGGGTTTTTTTCTCTTTTTTTTTTTTTTTTTTCCTCTGCAGAACTAAATGTTTCCTCCCCTCTGAGGAAGGTGGCTCAGACTTGGGTGAAATCGTTTCCCTATCGCTGTCTGAGCTGCAGGATGTTCCTAAGTGCGAGTTGTCGGGAGGTTTCACTGCGGGACAAAGAGCTTTTAAGCGTGAGGGTGGCGATAAAGCAAGGCTTCACGTGCCACGCTCTCTTATTTTGGCAGAGAGAAGAATCTGCTCACCAGCAAACACGAACAACTAATGGGAAAGGAGTCAAAGCGCTGACTAGTCACAGCGAGGAGGCTTCCTCCCCCTCCAGCAAAAAAAAAAAAAAAAAAAAAAAAAGAGAAAACAGATATTTGTGAAGTTCGCAGTACAAGGGGCATGACAAAGTAAACGAACTGAGCTGTTCGCAGATGGCAAAAGCTTCCTTCCACACTTGTGTAACTTATCCCAGACGTTCCCTGGAAAGGGAGAGAGGGAGGGGGGGGAAAAAAAAAAAGAAAAGAGAAAAAAAGAAAAAGAAAAAGCAAAACCAGCTGGCTGCTTACACAAGGCATCCGGAACGATACTGCCGGGACTCCAACATTTCCATTCAGTGCAGCAGAGCATGCTCCTGTGTAAATAGTTTCCATATGTCATCATTACAATAAAAAACAAAAAAAAAGAGAGAAAGAGAAGGAGCATAAACTTTCCAGAGCCCAAACCTCTCCCTTTGCAAAACAAATTCCCTGCATAGGGGAAGGAAAAGCTCTGCATTGGCTGCGAGAGCAAACAAACTCCTCTCACTCAGAAGAGCTCACAGGGGATCTGGAGGGCAGAGCTGAGAGGGGAATAAGGGACAGAAAACATTCACAGAACCAGGGATAAATCAAAATATTCACAGGAACCGGGGATAAATCACCCTTCCCAGCCAGGCTATTTCATGTCAAACTGAAGTCAATTTGGATTTTCATTGTTTGATCTGTGGTGTCTGCATTTGCTTATATAAATAATACTACTTTAAGAAATCCAACAAACTAGTAACCTCCTACAAATTCAAAGAGTTATACACAAGCTCTACAGGGTAGCTCTTGCATTTGCCTCAGAGCTCCCCCAGTCTGGCTCTCATTAGCCTGTTTGCCAGATGTTCTGCTTTCTAGATAGCACACACTTTTTCACGGCGTTAGACAGAAACAGACTGAGATGCCTCTAATTAGCTCCTCCAATGACTCCAAAGCCACGTGCCTTTACCGGACTTACCAGGGCTTTCTCCTAAAAGGTTGAGGAAGGTCTCGATGGAGCTGGTAGTCGCCATCCTATCCAGTTGATGCTATTTTAGCCAGGATACCTGTGATAAGAAAACTCTGCAAACTGTGTGGGAGGCAGGGCAAGAGATATAATTCAGCAAAAAATATTCTTAAGAGTTAAATCCACCATTCATACTGTTTACGTATGACATGTGTAGTCAATAATAAGACAGCAATAAGTAAGATACTCATCTAATGAGTTGCACGTGAAAGTAATATTTCTTGACAGGCGAAAAAAGAAATGCTAAGGACACATTCACGTTGCCTTACAAGGTTCCTGCAAGTGGATGCACCAAATAGAGCAGGAAGAGAGAAAAGTAAGCGAGGTGTTACCTCCCACAGACAGGAAAGGTCGAGCTGCCCAGGGCACAGGCTCAGGGCAGCTCCCGTAACCGTCCCGGAGAACCGGAGAGATGCCAGCTGATAAAACACCGCGCAGCGCACCAGCCACCAGGTCACGGAGGAGGAGGAGGAGGACAGGGAAAGAGA